TTTTATATATTTTATAAAATTATTTAATAAGGGCAATTTTGTCAATTTAAATTTTAAATGTGTCAGGGAACCTAATTGCACCAAATTGAAACTTGAGGGGTATTTTTTGCACGTGAAGGGTATGATATGCACTATATGCATACTTAAGGGATGTTTTTTACACTTGATCCTGAAAGGAATGTTTTTTGCACTTGGGATGTTAATAGAAAATATGACAATTGGTCTAAATATATATTTAATAAATGTTTTTTATTTTTTTAAAATAAAAGTAATAGAAGAATTTAAATAATAAAATTTTGTAAGATACTACTAGTCAATTTATTTTAGAAAGTGGGAAGGGGTATAATTGAAATTTCATATAACTTTTTTAATAAACAAATTTTTTTTTTTTTAATGTTTTCTAAATATAGTAAAATTTTGTGAGAAAGTTGGGTGGTTATGAAAAGTTATTTTTTCACAAACTTGTTTTAATGTTTTTTTATAGAAAGTAGAAACAGAAAAAAAAAAATAAATGATTTAGGAGTGAAAAATAAATTTTTAGGGGTATTATTGCAAGGGTCTACTTGGTTAAATAAAAATTTATGATAAAAAGTGGAAGTGAAAGTGAATGAGAAAGAAAGGAAAATCAAATTTTCACTATGCATTTGATACTTTCTTGAAAAATATTATTTTGTTAGTTTGTATAGGATGAAAGTGAAAAGAAAGTGACTTTATTTACCAAAAATATCCTTATATATGTTGAAAGCTAAAAAATTAAATATTTTGCAATACATTATAAAAATATATATAATAAAATAAGACAACTAATTTTTTAAAGTTGGATTAAACATAATTAGAGAGTAGAGAGACTCAACTAAATATCAACATTTTTTTTTTCCTTTTATTTTTGAACCTCCCAATTAGATATAGTTATTTTATTTTTTTCGTTATTAATCACTATTTAAGTCTATCCTGGGTTAAGGGTTAGTTAATTATATTAAAAAAAGATATCAGCTATCCATTTTATTGAAGAAAAAAAGAAAAGAAAATTGTTTCATAAAAAATATTTGTTGATAACTCACAAAAGAGAAGAGAGTTATTAAAAAACAAATACACACAATTTAGTTGGATAAAATAGGAATGTTAAATAAAAATGAGGGTTAAATGCAAAAAACCCCCCTGAACTATTGGGGGTTTTGCAACTAACCCCCTTGAATTAAAAAAAAAACCCTAAACTATGAATTTGTTGCAATTTGCCCACTCAGGCCACCGGAAAAGTAAAAAGACGAAACTGCCCTTCCAAGTTTGTTATATACTCAATACAACCAAACCCGAAGCCACACACACTGCAGAAATGGAAGAAGTGGCGGCAGCACTGGTGGAGATCTCTTTGCAATTCGTCAACCGTGGATGTGGAACAGAGCATCGATCATCGTCGTAGCCGCCGAGCGAGAGAGAGAGGGGTGAAGGTGATGGCAGCCGGCGCGTGAGAGAGAGCTCGGCGGTGTGGGTTGTGGATATTTCGGCTGGTAGAGAGCTCGATGGTGTAGAACAGCGACTAGGGAAGTCGCGATTCTGGCACAAATCAGAGAATGGCACAGCGGCGACGGATCTGGCGTTGGCGACAACGGCTTTTGTGCGCCGGTGATTGATAGAACAGCGGGCAAGATGGGTTGTGGATGAACTTCGGCAGTGCTCGGATGGGGGCGAGACGGTGACGGCGAGCTTTCGCAGCGGTGGGCGACGGGTTGTGGAGAGGACTCAGCCGCAATGAGGTGCTTCACGGTGTGATGGCAGCAGCGAGCTTGCCTTCGGATGATGGTGGTGGTAGTGGAGCCACCACTAATGACGACTCATGGTGCAATTAATTTGGGGTGATTACCAGTGACGACTCGTGTGTATATCTATATATATATAAATATATCGATTGAGCTTTGGTGTTTCAGTACGAATTACTGTATTTGAATTGATTCAATTGGGAAATTGTTTGAGAAACGTTTGTGGCTACGGCGGTGATGGCAGTGGCTGGACTGGTTCACTATGAATTATTTAAATTTTTTAAAATTGTGGTTCAATTGCTTCGAATGGTGGTGGCAGTGGGATTTTAGTGTGATTTGGGTTAAACGGCTTTCGGTGTGGAAGATGGGCTGGTCGGTGTTGAACCACGAACGCCTGCTGTTGAAGATGGTGAACAGTTATAGGGCGTGTTTGGGTATGCTATGGGGTCTATGGAAATTAAGGGCATTTTAGTCCTTTCATGCATATAAGGGCAGTATGGTCTTTTAAAATAAGTAAATTATTTTTAACGGCCAAAACTTGCCGGATTTTTGCCGGATGGAGTTATCTGAAACAAAATTGAATAGTTCAGGGGGTTAGTTGCAACTTTTGTAGTTTAGGGGGGTTAATTGCAACTTTGTCAATAGTTCAGGGGGGTTTTTTGCATTTAACCCTAAAAATGAACTCCAATAGGCAGTGTAGAAAACCAAATTTTCTCTTTTCTTCTATCCAAACTCTTAAAAAGTAAAAAATAAATAAAATAAATAAATTCTCTTTCCTATCTTTTTTAATTGATTCTATCTGATCAAACGAAGTCTAAATTATTTCTCATGTAAAAAGAAAAATGTTAGTTTCTCACCCAAAGCATTGCCTTTATATGTTAGTTTTCTATTATGTCCTGATTAGTTATTTCTCAATTAACTTCACGCAATTGGATCCTATATAATTATATATCCTCATGCGTGTGTCTAGATGGTTCAACTTATATTTGTTTATTTATTTATACAAATTATTCCTAAATCCAAACATGTAAAGAGTATTTATCTCTATTGCGAGAGTCTATGTTATCTTATAATTGTGTGGTCTTGCCCAATATTTGAACATCAACATCATATTTTTAATATATGTAATTATATTATTATTTTTAATAGTTAACATTTTACTATGTCTATGCTAAAAATGAATATAAATTAATCTAACACAAACTTATTTATTTATTATTATTTTTCTATAAATTCTTGCTAGCCAATTTCATATAATAAACTTGATTTTTCTTTCTTTCATTTTCATTGTCCATTGTAATTTTTCGTTTAAACTAACTGCACTTAAAAATCACCACAGAAAAATAAATAAAAGGAAATGAAGGATGGTATTTTTCACTTACGATAAAATTAATAAAAAAATATCAGTAATTTTGTTTGGGGGAAGAAAGGAAGTAAAGGTCAAGTTTGCCCTGCACCCAATTTATATAAGTAAATATGAAACAAGTATTGAATAAAAAAAGGTACCCAAAAAAAACATACCACATTTACGCAAAAAACTAATGGTTATGTTTGCCGTGTACCCAATTTATCTATCCCAAATCTTTCAATTAATGGCTATTGGTGTCTTAGGCGTGTTCCGTAAAGTTTTTATTATTATTATTATTATTATTATTATTATTATGTTGTGATTTCATTTTTGTGAAAGTGGCAAGTTTTGAAAAGTTGTGTTGTTATTTCAGTCAAAAACAAAATAAGTTTGAAACTATCGGCTGTTGAATTTTTAAAAAGAGAACATATGTTTGATAAATTTATTTTTTTAAAATTTGACTATTTTATTTACTATTTAAGTATAATTGAAAAATAAAAAATTAACATTATTAATTTTACTATTAGAGTATAATATATATATATATATATATATATATATATATATATATATATATATATATATTTAGTATTTAAGTATAATTAAAATAATAAATAAAGCATTTGAAAACCAAAACTGAAAATCAAAACTTCATTTTGAAGTTGTGGGAAGGAGGCACAAATGGTCATTTCCACCGCTCTAACTGGAATATAAATATCAGCATTCGAATTTCACTTTTCTACAATTATACTGCACTTTTTTTAAATGACATTTTATCCTTAATTTTATAAATAATTAATTATTTCTTTTGATATACCACAAATACCCTTTCAGTTATGGTAAGAAATCGTCTCTCTCTCTCCCCAATTAACCTAAATATCTCCTTTTTCTCTCTCCCCCTCTCCTTAGGGTTTAGTATTTATCTTTGTAAATAACAATAAAACTTCTAAAAAATCTTAAACATGAAGACGTGGTGGTGTAGTTGAATGAAGTAATTGATCTTGTTAGTATGGAAAGTATGAATGAACTATCAAATCTTCACGAGCTCATTCAACTCTATCAATGATAAATAAAATAAAAAAAAATTCTTTTGGAATTGTAGGCCATATCCAACGAAAACATATTATCTCCTTCAAAAATTCAATTAAAAAAAATAAGGGATGAAACCAAAATCACAAGAACGAAAGAAGGAAAAAGAAGAAAGAGAATAAAACCAAAATCAATGGAAAAACTAAACACTACTGATAGAACTTTAATACTTTTATTATTATTATTATTATTTATGGTATCTAAAACCAATTAACTTTAATCCATCACAAATCTCTCTTATTTTCTTCTGAAACATGAGTCCATGTTTGATTATTATTCTTTTTTTTCTTTCTAATTCAATATGAAAAGTAAAAACTATAAATAATACCAAGTTTAATACTAAGATTTAAGAAAAATGGAACAGTAAAGAAAAATTAGTTTTTTTTTTGGCGTGGACCCTTCCTTTTAATGATAACTTTAAATAATTAAGTATAATTTTTCAAAAGGGCAAAAAAGAAAGTTTAAAGTGCAAAGGTTAGTTAAGGTATAATAAAATAAGAGATGATGCAGCTTAAGGACTTTTTTTGTTATTTAATTAAAGAAAAAAGAAAAGTTTAGTACAACTATAGAAAAGTGAGTGCCAATAATCCCTCCCTGTAATTGTGAACGAAATGGGCAATTAGTTTTTAAAAATTTTAAAATCTGAAAAGTCAAAATAGAATTACCAAACAGATTTTGTTGCATTTTTTAAAGTAAAATAAAAACCAAAATTGAAAACTTTCCCAAACAGGGTCTTACCAAGTTTGTATTGTAAATTCATTTTGTACAACCTTTTGTCCCAAACAGACTTAAGTTGGGCATCGAAAAACTTAGGTGTGATAGGCCCATATAAAATTAAGCAATCCGAAATAGAGTGGCCTATATCGAACGATAGAGCGACCATTTCGGGGTTCCAAGATCAAAGCAGACCACCATGTCGTCCTCTTCATTTCCCGACTCGTTCGACCAACTCGGTGGCGACTCGCGACCCGCAGCCTCCACTCGTCCGTTCGACGACGACGGCTACTTGGGCTACGACCCTCGCCTACCTTCACAGCGGTTCGACTCGTTCTCCAACTTCGCGGACTCGGAGTCCGTCAAGGACTCGCTCGTCGACGACTCGCCGGTCTTTCACAGCAGCAACAACAACGACGTGTTCGGTTCACAGACAATCCCCGATACTCCATCTCCGCCGCCGATCTATGTCTCCGGCGGTGGATTCCCTCTGGATCCGGCGGAATTCTCGTCGTTCTCCAAGGAAGGGAACGGAGAAGCTTTCGACGGGGATTTTGTCGCTTCGGATGGCCCGATTCTGCCGCCTCCGGCGGAGATGCAACCTGAGGACGGTTTTGCCCTTAGGGAATGGAGAAGGTTAGGACTTCGCATTGATTCAATTCAGATAATCTGTGCAGTGATCAATCTAATTTAGTTTATTTTCAAGTTGTTAAATTTTTTATCCTTAATTTGTTAATTTTGGGTTAAACTCTGTTAATGTTGCACTGATTCTATTCATAAACGTTAATTTTTTTTATGCTTTGATCTAATCAGTGATCAATCTAATTTAATTTATTTTTTAAGTTGTTAAATTTTTTATGTTTGATTTGTTAATTAAAGGGCAACTCTAGTAAACTCTTCACTGATTGTATTGATAAAAAGTTCAAAAAATTATGCATGATCTTGCAGTGATCGATCTAATTTAGTTTATTTTTAAGTTGTTAAATTTTTTATGTTTGATTTGTTAATTCTGGGGTAAGCTCAAAATACTTTACTGATTGTATCGGTAAGCAAATTGTATTGGTACTCACACATACATGCCTCTACCGAGGCTAGAACCCTGACCTCCCTTTGGCAAGTAGAAGTCTGGTACCGCTAAGCCACTGGCCCGTTGGTATAAAAGTTAGAATTTTTATGCTTGATCTGTTCAGTGAGCATACATTTTTGGCATTATTTCATCGGTGAGTTGTTAATGAACATTGAACATCCTCACTCATGGACTCTCTCAGGCAAAATGCAATTCTCCTAGAGGAGAAGGAAAAGAAAGAGAAGGCATTGTTGAACCAAATCATTGAAGAAGCAGAAGAGTACAAGATTGAATTCCACAGGAAGAGGAAGATTACCTGTGAAACTAATAAAGCCACTAACAGGGAAAAGGAGAAGGTGAGAGTGCACATTTATTTCTTAGACGTACATTGCAGCTGTTCTTTTTTTTTTTTTTGTTATCTTTTTGACATATTGATTGTATTATTTTGTCTCTCAATTGCCTATCTTTAGAGTATTTCCCATGTGTCACAACACATGATAAGATTTTTTGGTGGTAATAAGTTATGTAGAGTTCTTGTCAAAAAAAAAAAAAAAAGAGTTATGTATAGTTTTGAATGTTTCAATCCAATGGTTAATTTCTTAAGTCATTTAATATTGTTAAAGGATCTTGTCAGTCATTGCATTATCATGTTTTTTTGTATCTCTCCTTATATTTGATAACTCATTTTTTTAAATGATTTTTCATGCTATTACCAAAATAATGCCAAGAAGAAAAAATTATATTGAAGTATTTTTATTTTTTATTTTCCAATTTTCTAATGTATTTAATTATTATGTTTTTGTGTACTAGACCATCCTATGAACTGTGTATTCTGTTGCATGAATTAGGGTATTTTTGTCTGGTGTGTGTATGTGTTTAAGTATCTATTTATTAAATCTTCAAATCAAGGAGATGGGGGACACTGTTAATTTTTTGCTTTTTTATTAGTCCTTTTATTTTCAAGGATCAAGATTTTTTTTTTTGCTGTTTGTGTGTGTGTATGTGTTGCATGGACATTTCACTCGTTTTGTAATAATCATCTAGCAAAAATTGTGTAACTATTAACAAGAGATTTTCTGAACCCTTATGTAATATTTGAATTATTGAATATACTTAGTAGGACAGACATGTCGGGCATGTCCCATGCCCAGTGTGAAAGCTCACTTGAGTCGGCTATGGTGTATGAAGGGTTGAAGTCACAACAAATTTGGTAGACCCCTTCATGTGCAAGAAGTTAGAGAAGGAGAGAATCAGGTTTTCAATTGTTAATTGTTTTTATCAATTCCGTTGTCAATTCTTAGAAACAAGAGCAAGAAATAAGGAAAGGATGGTATCCCTTTTTGGCCAACTGTTGTTATATAGCTGCTGTCAAATGCCCATTTTACTTCAGTAGTCCATAGGGGTCTCTTCTAGTTAATGAAAACACTGAGCAATCCATGTTACCCAACTAATGTTTAGACATGGAATCAAGGTCTTTTGAAACCCAGCCCATTCAATTCAGCAATGGTCCACTTGGCCAAATGTTCAAATAATTTGGCTCCGATTGAAAATTTTCATGCGGACATTTGGTGGTTTTAGATGGAGCATTAGATAAGCTGACTGAACATGCCAGCAATTGAATGCAAGGAAAGTATTGATGTCCCCTAAATTTCAATGAATAAGATATAAGTTTTTTAACAACATTTTTCTAAATATTCTTCCTAACATGTCAACATTTTCCGTATCGGCATTCAAAACTTTGATATCTTAAAAGGCAACATCTCATTCTTGTGATGTGGATAAAGTATAGCAAGATCTTTGATAGTGTTGTAGCAGAAGTTAAGTGAGGACATTTGTCAAATAACATGGAAACTTTACCGTGACATCTTGAAGATAAATTTTAGCAGGCTAAAATGTTTACATTTTTCTAATTTGTATCTTGTATGCCAGTTATTTCTGTCCAGCCAGGAGAAGTTCCATGCCGAGGCGGACAAGAATTACTGGAAGGCAATTGCAGATATCATTCCTAAAGAAGTGCCAACTATAGAAAAGAAGAGAGGGAAGAAGGACCAGGAGAAGAAGCCTTCTGTTGTTGTAATACATGGGCCAAAACCTGGGAAACCAACTGACCTATCAAGGATGAGGCAGATACTCCTAAAGCTCAAGCACAGTACGCCTGCTCACCTGAAGCCCACTCCACCTCCTGCACCAGCCCCTGCCAAAGACGCCAAAACTGGTGGTGGTGGTGCTGCTGCTACTAAGACTGCCGTTGTGGCAACTGCTCCCGAGGCTGTAGCTGTTGCCTGATAGTTCAATTCTAGTCTTTTGTGCCCAGATTCTATTTTTCGAGAAACTTTGTTGTGAGGGTATGCAGGGTTTTTCTATTAGGTATATCATATATGCAGTTATAAATTTTCGTGTTTCTATATGTATAAAACATAATTATTGAGACAAATTCTGTCCTGATTTGTGTTAATATTGGATCTCAAATTCCTTGTCTAATATATAGACTAAATCATGCGTAAAGCTTTTGATGGTATGTTTTAGATTGGTTGGTAGATTAGCTCGAAACTTTTCAGATCACATTGAAGACCAAGCACCAATACTTTTATCTTTCACTTTGTGGATTCAAATGAAATTTTGCTTTCAGGTTTGCCGGGTCAAGTTTATCTAGTTCTAGCTATCATAGAAATTAAATGGGGGCACATGGTTTTCGAGGTTTGATGGAGACTTGCTTGGACCCTTGGTATTTCATATTCATGGGATTGTACTGTCTGGATTGTTTCTGAGTTGATGGTGAAGACTTGTTTGGACTTTGGCTATCTCATATTCTTGGGACTGTACCGTCTAAATTATTTCTGAGTTGATGATGAGCTTCTGGGATTAAGGAAAATATATATATATAGATATATTTATTTATTTCTGGGATTGTACCGTCTAAATTATTTCTGGATGTAACATCAAGAGGCACTGATAGTGGTCCCACACATGATATAATGATGCTAATTAATTATTCGACCTTCAGCAAGTATGAATTTGAATGCAGAGTTGTGTGGCCCAGCCACTGAACTACTTTATTTTGAAATGTTTATCCAGTACTCTTTTAAACTTCTCTTGGTACTGTCTTGCAACCATTATCTGAATGACCATTCTTCAGACCTCATACAGGGTATCACATTATCACCTGACAAATATCATGTGCCTTCCAGTCAATGATCCCAATTCCTCTCATGTGCCTTTTCATCCTGTGCGGCAATTCAAATCACTTATCATACAACAACTTTACATCGCTTACGCAACAGTTGCGCTACTTCGTGTTGCTACTTTGCGCTACTTCGTGTTGCTACTTTACATCGCTTACGCAACAGTTGCGCTACTTCGTGTTGCACTAGCAACACACGAGAGGATTCAAATTCACAAATCTTTTATTTATAAAACTCATCAAGAAGATGGTTCTTGTATGATATAATACAGTTGATATGCATTGTTTCTGTGACAATACCATTTAATCCCAACAATAGGTTGCTTGTCAAGCACCGTAGATAGGGAGTGAGGAGACATCAATTTGAAACCACATCAAATTTTTGTAAGAAAATACAAGCAGCAACTGTAGGGTTGGTTATTGGGTAGGAAGATTCGAAAGCTCCAAAGAGATGCACAGAAGCGGTTTTGGTTCAAAGTATAATCCAAGAGCTTAGTTTTCAACATGTTAAAGGTAACTTTAAAAAGACATATACGATTAAATGTAGATATATGTTCCTAGAATAATACAAATGCTAAAACTAATATGAACTTAACAGCTAATTGTTCCGTTTAACTTTACACATATCATAGAAGTCACACCTCCCTTCAGTTCTTTCTGAAAACCATTAGTCTTCGAATTGTCGTGCCGGTACAGATTCACAACAAAAATATAAATGGATTAGAAAAGCATTTTAGTATTTAGGATAGCAGAACCCAAGCATCACCTGCACTGTACTCCGGCAGGGGATCCGACACCTTTCTCGCTATTAATATCATCTCCTACTTCGCTTCCTTCTAAACAAAGGGCATTGTTGTTGACACTCACTTCAGAACTAGCATTACTGCTTGTCGCAAGAGGAGAGTCTGAAACACTAACAGTCCTGCTTCGTGCAGGCCCTGATCTCACACTGTACATAGAGGATGCTGGAATATTTGTCATTAGAGGTCGCAGATTACTCGGAATCCTTTGCCTGATATCCTGCTCAAGAGGAAATTCCCAAATCAAATAATTAAAAAAAAAACAAAAAAGATATTTCTCTGATTTGTGACACTCAATTTTCCCCAACTATTTTTGAAGAATCAAAATTGTGAAAGGGAGAAAAAAAAAAAAAAAAAAACCAAATGAGATAAGCTAATAAGAATAGAACAACGTGAAAAGAAAGGGGGAAAACATTCTGTGTTCAAAATGCCATGAATGAATTTAGGCACTAAAAAATGACCGCATGGAAAGAGATGATCTCATGTTATGTCAGAATGAAGAATTTGGATCTGAAGATGTCAAAACACAATGTATATCGCAATGCAATGTCATAGAACGAATATAATACCATGTGAAATGAAAAATGATCAACCAGTGTTACATAATGAATATAATACCATGTGAAATGAAAAAAGAGACGTACCATATGCCTTATAGCCATATCCAAGGATTTCTTTGACAGTGTTCTTCCAAAGCCTGAGCTGTCAGGAGATGAGGACTTTCCAGATAAGTTACTCTTAGGAGAGTGTTTGTCATCTTGCTTTGGTGGTGCCAGTTTCCGCATATTTATTACTCTTTCCACCATCTTGGTTCCCATTAAAACAGGGCTCACATTGTCATTAGCTTTAGAATATGCACGACTCATTGCAGGAACAGAGCTTCCACTGCTATGAACGATGCCGTTAGGGGGTCGTCCTCTCGACGGAGAGCAGGATTGTCGTCTACCCCTTGCACTAGAACCTGCCTCAACAGATGAAGATCGACTACTGGGTGCTCCAGGCCTGCCCCTAGTGGCTGACAGTGGCCTTTCAGGAAGTGATGTCCTTAAATTTGGTGGTGCATCAAGAGAGAAACCAGGCATCTCCGAAGGTTTCCATGGCCTGGATTTTACTGTTGGTGAGCTACCGCGAGGTGGCACTGGATTTCTTGATATTGTGGGACCTGACCTGGTAACTGAAGAAGGAGACTTAACTGGAACAGTAGATGTATTTGTTACAGTTGACGGTGCAACTGGTCTACGAGTTGGTGTTGCTGCCCTCGATGTGGGCTTGGATGCAGGTATAGTAGAGGTATTTGTTACAATTGACAGTGCAGCTGGTCTACGAGTTGGTGTTGCTGCCCTCGATGCGGGCTTGGATGCAGTTATAGAGGGTCTTGCCGTCGGCGTTGAAGATCTTGCGGTAGTCCTTGGCAAAGGTGAGGAGGATCTTGCTGTATTCCTTGACAAAGGCGTGGAGGATCTAGCTGGAACAGTGGGCTTAGATGCAGGCAATGTGGCCCGAGAAGTGGGTGTTGAAGGCCTCGAAGGTTTTGATGCAGTGGTCAATGAGGGTTTACATGCTGTAGTCAATGTGGGTTTAGATGCTGTGGTCAACACGGGTTTAGATGCTGAGGTTAGTGTGGGGCGTCCAGTTGGTGTTGCAGGTCTTGATCCTGGACCCCCCGATGATGAAGGTCTGCGAATTCCTGCACTTGAAGAATTCAACCCAGGGGATGAACCTGGCTGTCTAGATGCTAAGTTGCTCCTCACAGCAGGCTCTGGCTGAGGGTTTGCTAGCTATAGACACAGTGAGCAGATGATAGAACAACATAAGTTCATGATTTCAGACAGATACGAATTAGAAATAATACATGTTTAACTAAAAATAACCCTCGAGTGTTCTAAAGAACTAAGACATCTGCACAGAAGCACTCCATTCTCTCAGGGATTTATCAGAAATTTTAATTATAGAGTTATAAATGTGTTAAACCTCTAAAATGCTTCTCAAACTTCATTGTTTTTTTAACCATACACCAGTGGTTATTGTACATTTATGCAGTTAGAGAAGAAATATTTTTCTTGTATAAGAATAACTTTCATCAATTTGTCTTGTTACTTCTTGCATGTCCATTAAAGAGATTCTTGATGTGCTTGGCTTTGGTAAACCAATATTTCACAACTTAAAAACATTATAGCAAAGCTTGCTGCACACTCAAAAGGATGAAACAATAGTTTGATGGCTTACTAAAGTTATGGAGCAATATAAATGTGGTTTGTTGACATGTAATATAAACTAGGCTATTTTTTTGCACAGAGGGATTGTCATGGAACACCAGATGCGTAATAATTCCACATTGCTCATTTGGTTTTGTGATTCTGAACTGGCAGCTAACCTGACTTGACCCCTTTTGTAGGCTTGAGACCAACCTAACATTGAAATGGCTAATAAACCAAAGATTTGTTAAGGTCTGAGGTGTAGACAGGTTAATCATTTATTTATCTGGAACATGAATGGTTACACACTTACACTCCATTTTACAATCATTCCCTAGATGTAAATTTCACAAGTCTAGTCCCAAAAAATAAAAATAAAATAAAAAATAAAACCCTTAAGTTAACAAACTAAAAGGGCTAGCCCAGTGCACGAGGCTCTCACTATGGCGGAGTCTGAGGAGGGTCGGATGTACAGAGCCTTACATCCACATGCAAAGAGGTTGGTTCCAATTTTAAACCCGTGACCTCTAGGTCACAATGGGGAAACCTTACCATTGCGCCAAGACCTGCCCTATTATGTTTACCAACTATCGAGTCCAAAAAGAAAAGAAAAGAAAAAATTAATAATAAAAATAAAGGATAATAAAAGAAATCTAACAACTATCAAATTTTATATTAATAATTTTTGAATAGACTGATATCTGGCATGAATGTTTAAGTTATTGCTCTTACTCTAGATTTTAGATTAGTAGGGCGAGCTTTAGGACTTCCAATCTGACTCATAACTGTTCTCTGTGATTCCATCTCCAGTGAAGGAAAAAGAGGAGTACCAGGTGGAGTTAAAAGCCTGAAAGCAAAAGAGAACTCAAGTCAATTGGCAACCTAAAAGAGGCTGGATTCCATCTATTTACATTAGTCCAATACATAAAAGAAGATAGGAATTGAAATCCATTAGATGCATACAATGTGCAAGAGCAAGTGAACAGGTTCGGGAATATTCAAATTTACAGCTGAGTCAGTTAAATAAGAATATTTGACAAAAAAATTCTGCACCATTCATATACTTCATCTGGAGTTCATATCAGATTGCCTGTGAGTGTAACTGCCACGGAGTGTAAAGACATTTACCATTCAATGAATCATTTGATACCAATGCCTATGATATATCTAGCGGTAGATTATCTGTGGATCATTTGTCATTAGCAGCAGTCCAATTTCTACAGAATCTTCTACAGATTTTTTTTGGCCGGGAAAATACACAAATAGTATTGAGGGTTGCAGTAGATTTTAATGAGTAGAAACGTTGGATATTTTCATTTCCCCACCTAAGGAGCAAGGACAA